CCAGGAGGGGATTTGCACAGTACCGTGAGGAGCGAGGGGCGGCAGCGGGGCAGGGGCAGCCCGGCGTGGGCTGGCTCCAGCAGGTTTGGCTCATTCCCGGCTGCATTCCCGCAGGCACGGCACTGCTGGGGCTCAGCAGGACAGGCCTGACCCAGCCCTGCGTCCCTGCAACGCTTTGCCAGGACAGGCTCACGGAAAATCAGCTGGAAGTGGAGACAAGGCAGCGCTGAGGGAGGCCACGGGAAGAAGAGGAGGGAAGTGGGAAGTGCAGAGCTGGGGAAGGTGGGCAGCACCTCCCGACTGTCCTTGCAGGAAAACAACCTTCTCCACGCTCTTACCACCCAACCCTGGGCCCCTCGTGCCACATCCTGCCCTGCCACAGGCTCCCCACTGCTGGCAGGGATGCAGAAGGAGCGGGAAGTGTCACCGCTGGACACACGACACCCCTGTGCTGCAAGGTGACAGCGTGCTGGAGCTGTAGCCACACCACCACCGTGCCCTGCAGGACCGGTGAAATGCTGCCACCTTTTCCCAGCAGAAGGGTGGAAGCATTTTTGGCAGAGCTCTGATTTTAAAGGGTTTCTGGTTAATGCTGCTCTGCGCTGGCAATTCCCATCTCGAGGCCGGCACGAGCAGGGTGGGCACGGACATTCAACAGCGTGAGGTGTCGATCCCAGGGGATCTATCACCAGGTGCCAGACATCCTGCACCCACAGCAGTCCCCACCACACCCAGGATCTTGATGTGGCCTCCTCGAGCCCACTGAAAGAACCGATGGCCAGAAGTCCCACCCTGGCACGAAGCTCAACCCGCTGCCCAGGGAAACTGGTGCTGCCTCTTCCTGCTCTTCCATGAAAGCCACATCCTCCCAGCACCAGCCTGAAGGGGCAGGATGAAGCCTCTCTTGCCAGCTGCCACTGCTCGTCCCAAGAGTGGACCAGAAAAGCTGGGCAGAAAGTCCCGTGAGTCCTTCCACGGCCACTGCCCAGGTAACTCCTGGGGTAAAACCAGCAGCTTCAGCACCCAGACATCCCCCAGTGGGGCAGCCACCCATCCTACAGAGCAAACCTATGCCATGAAGAGCTGCCAAAAGCACCCGAGACACTCAGCCCAGCACCTCCAGCCCCTGGCATTCTGCTGCCCATCCCTCACTGCTGCCTTGGCAGGGCTTTGGGAATGCAGGGGGTGGTACAAACCTCTGTGGGTGCTGCCTGAACTGGGGAACCCAGCTCCTCCTGTAAACAGGAGCCAACACCCCTTGGCACTGCCCTGAGCAGAACTCCACCACCAGCCTCTCCAGCCTCTGAGAGAACTGCTGGTGCCCCATCAGCCATCCATGCCTGATCCCACACAGCTCCGTGGAGGTGTTATCAGCAATGGCCGTTCCTCACCTGCCTCTGCCGCCCTTCCTTCCCTCCTCTTCTCCCCTCCAGCAACAGGCAGGCAGGAGAGCAGGGCTCCAGGGCTCATCCAGACCACAGCAGCCAGCAGGAGGGATGCTTGGCCGAGTAGGGCTGGCGCTGGAGGTTTCCCCAGGGCTGGCAATGGGACGGTACCTTTTGGAAGCGAGGGGGAGCACGCTGGCTCCTCCTACGTGCACGGGGGCTGTGCCACCTGCCCTGTCCCTGCAGCAGCCCAGGGACAGCTCAGCGGGGCAGGGCTGCGTGCGGGAAGCTGCAGAGATGAGGCAGGAGCAGATTCCCCACGGTGGCAATTCCCTACAAGAGGTAGCGTGAAAGGAAGGGGGGAAGGGGCTGCCTGCTAGGAGGGAGCGATAAGCGACTGAGGTACACCTGTAGCCCCTCAGAAAGACACCCAGCATGAGGCTGTACACTGCTCTGGGGGTGGTTTGCGTGGTGGTGGTGGATTTTTGCTTTTCCTCCTTAAAATCCTTCTACCTTGGGTGGGAAGCAGGGAGGGGAAGGGAGCGGTGTTGTGGCGGTGGTGGGGAGGGGGAGAGCGGCTTCTACCCAGAAAAGAAAGGGAAGAGAGTATAAAGAAGTGTCCAGATTGGCTGAAAAAAGCATCCCGACGAAGAGAAGAGAAGAGAAGGAGTCTTCTTGTGTGTGCTGATTGGGTTCACCTCCAGTCTGACTGCTGCGGTGTTAGGAGAGGCCCCTCCTCTCCCGCCCCCGCCGGGGCCGGCTCAGCCAGGGATGCAATTTGCTGGGAGATCAGTTGGAGGTATCAGAGTGAACGCTGCCAGGGCCTTCTGTGGGGGAGGTCACCGACGATGGGGTAGTAGCGTCTTGCCAACCTCCATTAGCCTGAAGGGACACACAGAGACATCAGTCACCCGACGGCAAGGCACAGGCAGCCCTACACAAGGCACCCATCCACCTCACCTCCTCCCCGCTTCTCTCTCAGCTGGGATTGGTGTAGGAGGCAAAGATGTCCCCTCTGACTCCCCCATCCCACCCCAGACTACAGGGCTCCAGCAGGCTCCATCACAGAGCAAAAACATTTCTGCTGAAAACAGATTTTGATAAACTGCAAGTGCTCATGGAAAGTCCATCCCTAAAAAAACCCAACATATTTATCCAGAACCCCGAGCTCTGGTTGTTTGGGGTTTTTTAACCTGATTACAACTTCCTGATTATAACTCTTCCTCATATGGAAGAAAGAAAATAACCAACACTTCAGAATCAGCAGCCTGAATGTTACCTGAACCTAAGTGCTGTGAATATGCAGACCAAGCAATAGGTCCCATGGAACTGCTGAGCTGTGCCGTGTCCCCCAGAAAGGCTCCACATCCCAGCCTCATCGAGGGAAACAGCCACAGCTCGACAGAGGTGCCAACACTATATCCCACCTGAGGGTTCATGCAGCAAACCATGGCAGACAACTTGTTTCTTCTCCTAAAAACAGATGCAGAGCCAAATTCTCCAGGCACTCCAGAGCTGAGCTACTGGAGGGCCCCGGCTGCCGCGGGCAGGAGCCGGCAGCGCACAGAAGCTGCTCCTCTGCCACTGCCATCCCCTTCGGAGAGGAGCAGATGTCACACCCAACCTCCTCTGCTTGCTCTGACATTGATTCAGTGCTTGGCAAATTAATCCTTCCCAAGCACTGCCCAGGCTCCAGTTGGCAGCAGGCGCTGTCCCGCTTTAGACACGCCCGGGCTGCTTTGCCCACTCTGGCTGCCTGTCCCACTGCCTGCTGCACACCCCAGGGGGCTGAGGGTAGGAAAACTCCCCACCCCAATGACACCTGAGGTTTTAAGTTTTACTGTTCTGCTTTGGTGTGCAGCTTTTAGCTTAAGTGTTACTGGGATCTTTTCACAGGGTGGTGAAGACAAATCAATCCTATTCTAGCTGGAGACCGAAGGACAACCTCTTCAAACTCCAGGCCCAAAGCATAAGCAACGTGAGAAGAGGAGGGTGGGCAGGCAAGCAAGGAGGATGGAACTTCATAATTTGAAGCTATTAACTGGACAGTTAACTCCTGTATGCAAATGGACTAAAACTTATAAAAATGTGCAATCTTGTGACCAAGCCCTCTTTTGCTTCCATCTTGGCCACGACTGTGGTGCCGGTACTGCCAGGGTGTGGCCTTTGAAGGCACTTTAATAAATATCCACTTTATTCCTCTTAACTCCATCTAACCTCTATTCCAGCTCCTTAAGGCATCACTGAGGTGCTGCTGCCCAGCTCCTGCCTGCCTGAGAGGCTGTGCTGGGAGCAAGGAGCTGACAGGCACAAGAACCCACACTTCAGGAGACACACCACCTCACAGCGGGACACGCACAGAGCAAACAAGACCAGAGGTGTGTGCACACCCCTTGCTGTGCCCGTGTGCTCTACCACACGTGCAAGGCAGCAAGGGGGTTCAGGCAACAGCAAAGAAAACAGGAATCACGACCTCAGCTGGCTCACAGGTCAGCAAACCCCACTCTGCTCCACCTCGCGTGCAAGTGTGACACCAGACGATGCACGAGCATCACCAGCCCCGTGTGCCCCATTCCCACTGCCCCCACCAGCTCCCACCCACAGCCAGGCCCTGACCCCCCATCCCTGCGCTCCCCAAGAGGCAATATCCACCCTTACACATCTTGGACTGCTGCAAGAGGCAGCAATTACTGTAGATTATCAGCCCGACAATGACAGGCCGCGTAAAGAGAGACACAGAGCCAACTCCGCCGCCCCGAGACTGGCATATTCAAGTACACTTAGGACATTAATAGCAATTTACGTGCCATCAGTGAGAGAGAACCACAATAGCTGTGCTGGCAGCCTCTTATTACCAAGCCTGTTATTTGTTGGAGTTACAAGCTATAATCACAACAGAAACTTTCAAAACCCTTATCTTCCGTGACGCACCAAATCTATTTCAGAGCCGTAATTGCTATGTCACCGGAGAGTTTGCTGCTTAATGCACTCAGATGCCATTTAGTGTTTGCAGGGTCGTTACGGCGAGCAGGAGGGGGGAGAGCGGCGGGGGCCGTGCGGAGCAGGGCTCTGGCCCTATTGTGCTCAACTATTTTTAGAGAGGCTTTTGCCTGCCAGCCACCGAAGCGACCGAGCGGCGGCTTCACGTTCAGCACCCAAAATCCTTGGAAGGTACTGCAGATTGGGAATGAGCCTTCCCGTCCTTCAAGAATTTGTGTGGCTGAACACAACCTTGGTGGCGTCCAGTGGGAAGTTGAGGGAATGGTGGGGAGAAGCCAGTTGTGGTCTGGTAAGTTGTGGGTCAAGTGATAGAAAGGAGGACCCAAGGTTGGCTGTGACACCTTCACACCATCCTTTGGTATGGAAAAGTCCTCCATGAGGAGGTCAGATCCTTCCCCAGGCAGAGGACATGCAGGCCCCATCCCCACTCATCCTGGAGTTCACTCCATCGCTGCATGGACCAAGCCACATGTGGGATTCATCCAGTTCCATCCAGATGGCTCTACCTCTTCCAAGCAAGGAGATCCCCTGGGGTTTGACTGTAGTAAATCAGTTGGGATCTCCCTCAAAGACAAAAGAATCTTTTGAAGAGGCTGCTCCTCCTTGCAGAGCCCCTGCACATGGCTGTGACTTCTTCAGGAGGGGCCGATGCCAAAGACAGAGCAGTGGTCTCCAGGACACCTCTTCAGATGTCACCTTCTGGTGCCAGAGCACAGGCAAAGCCTTGGAGACTGTCCAAAAATGGAGCCCCAGTGAAAGACTGCTGAAACAGCTGGTTTTGATGCCCAGTTCCACAGGTCTCAGCATTTCTGTCACCTCCAGCAAGTCTGGCTGGCTCCCTGCCCGGGCCTCCTACATGGGGCTGGGAGATGACTTTCTGCCAATTTTTAAAGACGCCTTCTGCTTAGCAAGGAGGCTGTCTCAGCGCCCCACCTCCTGTGACCAAATCCCTGTCCCACCAACAATGGCACAGGGCCTCCAAACACACCAGCTACCACCCAGTCTGACAGAGCAGCCTCAATGCCTTTTCAGACCTCTGAGCTTGTAAGAGCTTTTATCAGGGCCTCCTTACAATATGCACTGAAGGACTTATCACACAGCAGAGAATCCAGCCTGGTCAGGACATCCCTTCCCAAGGGTCATGGCCAGGCACCCCTGGCCATCAGAACACACCAAGGCATCCCGTATGGATGGAGCCTGTGCACTGAAGTCCTGCCAAACCAACTTCCATACCCCAGCTGGTGGTCATGAACATGAACCTAAACTTGACCATGATGGTGAACTGCAGCTGGCTGAGGAACAGAGCAACAACTTATTTCCCAAGGCTCAACTTTTTAGAACAAAAGATCTCAGGTCAAGTAAGGAGCTCTCAGCTTCTTCCTCTACCAATCCTTGCTCATGAGCGTGGATCCAAAACTCCCTGTCACACCTGCCACTGGCCACCACCATCCAGGTGACACACACACTGCTCTGTGAACAGGCACAGGTCTGCACAGCAGCAGTTTTAAATCAAAACCTTCACTTTCTGATGAACTTTAAGAACAACTCATAATTCTACACGTTTAAATCATCTGTAAATTAAATTAAGTCCAAAACCAAATTTCTGAAAGGGCTTTAAGATGACTACAGTTCACTCATTCATTAGCATATGGGGGAAGTAGAATACTTCTACTTCCATAGGCCAGTGGCAGGAAAGGTGATGTTCTGGGGTAGGACCCTCTAGAGGTCTGTGGCAATAAACACCCAACTTCTACTGGAACCCAGAAGAACCTGGGCTTTCCTAAATGCTTTGAAATCCCTGGTTTTGGAGGACCTCCTGGATACACATGTGGACCCCCCATGAACAAATACTGTCCAAACAGCCCAGACATTTAACAACCCTCACCTCATGGTGCAAAAACCTACAGCCTCAATGTTTGCTAGAAGGGCTCACACCCCAAAACTCCTGAAAGGAGAGGAGGTCCCTGCTTCTTCTCAGTGTGACCCAAGGCTGGGTATCCATAGGACAGCTCCTCTCCACCATCTCTCCACTGTCAGAGTGTCCTCATCCCTTGCTGGGACCGGTGCAGTCCCCACCTGTGAAGAAGAAGGCTCTGCTCTCCCCCTGCCTCAGCTGCGGGTCACAGCGCTGGCGATGGCTGGGACACTGCCCGTTATCCTGCTAATGATGCAGAACCGACTCCAGCCCTTCCTTCCTGGCAGAGCAGCCTGTCAGCCACAGCAGCAGAGCCTCGCAGGGAACTGGGCTTTGGGTAGATCCCTCTTCTCAGCTGTCACGACTTACACGCGTTTAAAAATTCATCCTCCATCAAGGAAGGCAAACCCCGAGCGTTGTCTCCCCTGCCAAGGTTTCCAGCAGTGGAGCCGGGCAACCTGCCGCTGACTTCCCGGTGCTGACGGGCTCCAGGGATGACTTCACCTCAGCCCCGTGCAGACATCGTTGTGACAGGGCTCTGGACTAGGTTTCGGCTCATCTCCTCCCAGCAGCTCGCGGGGACGCTCGGGTGATGTGGGGACGGCAGCTTTCCGTGTCACAATCAGCTCTGCTCCGCATTCTGCCGCCCCTCCTCGGCATGAAAGGGTTCAGGGAAAGGCAGGGAAGCCCTGCCTGTTGGAGACAGGCACCCTGCCTGCACTGAGGAGCTCCCCAGCACCAATGCTTCCAAAAGGGCAGCACACCTCAGGGTGGACAAACTGGGATCCATCAAGGATGGGAAAACATTAAGTGACAATCAGGCTGGAGCACACTGGCTGGGATGCAGGGGAAACAAACAGGCAATCTGGAAGATGCTTCCTAAACTGTCTGCTCAGCTCTGGACTCCCTGCCTCATTTCCCATGCCTACCACAGCTTTATGGGGAATTGAGTCACCCACACAGTGCAGTCCCTTTGCCAGACTGCCTCTCTCTTGACAACATCCAATATGGGTCAATTTGGGCTCTTGCTCTCCCTGAAAACCAGCCTGAGAAGACATCAAATGCCAAACATGCCAGGTCACCGTTTGGGACGCAAAGAGGGAACCACCAAGCCCCTGCCACTCTCGGTTCACCAGTTCTCATTGCTATTCATGGGAACATTGGTTCTCCCACAGAGAACCACAGCCAGAAACACCAGCCCAGCTCCCCTTATCCTATTCAGCTTCTGAGTTTTCACTTTCTCTTCCTTCTCCTCTCCCCAGTCACCCCCTCCCTGCCTCAAAATCCCTGGCAGCAACTCTCCCCCTCAAATTTTGGCTTAACCCAGGCCACTGTTATTTTCCAAGCCAACTACAACTGTAATCAGCTCAGCCTCCTTCCTTGGGGGTATTTTAATTTATACAAAAGTATCATCTCTTATCATGATCAGCCTGCGATTCATTTACTCTCCAAGTATTAAAAAGCCAGAAAGGGAATAAATTCAGCACACGGAGAAATTAATGCGGAACGATAGGCTCTTTCATGTGGCATTTCCAAGTGCCGTTTTTGCAAGGGGCTTATGTAATGAGACATAATTATCTGCACATGTTCAATTACATTACTTCACAAATCCTCCCTGCCTCTGCCTCCTGACGTCAAGCCGCCCACTAAGCCCCGGCGCCTGCAGGAGAGGGGAGCAGAGCCCCCCGTCCCAGGGCACCCCTCTCCTTGTGCCCTCTCTGCATACTGGTGGTGGCCGTCCTGCAAGATGGTCACACGCCAGGTGACAAATGGCCCAGCGCACTGAGAGTGATGGGACTGGCTGGTGATGGCACCGTGCTGGGGTCTCGGCTGCAGGACCACCATCCCACCCAGAGGATCATCACCTCTCTGACCAGTTCAAGACCACCCTATCTCAACCATCAGCGTCCCCATGTCCAGGGCCAGCTGCCCCCTCCTCTGTGCCACCCCAGACACCATTGCCACCACCCACTCAGCGCTCACAGCCTCCTTTTCCAGGCTGCCCTCCTCTCCCAGCTTGCTGTCACTGCCGCTGAGATGGCGGACGATTGATCTGAGAAATGAAGTTGGATTGCTGTCCCAAATCTACACTGGGTTCTCCTTGTGTGTGTCTGATCGATTTCCCCCTGTGCGACACAGCTTGTCGCTACGAATTTTCATGCTAGTCAGAACCCGCCAGCGCACCCAAGAACAAGGAGAAGATGCTCCAGAGACCGCCCTCCCCCTCGCATCCTCCCCCAGCCCGCTTGGGCGAGGTTTTCTTGGGTTGATGTTGGTTGGCTTTGTGGGTTTTTTCCCTCCTTTCATTCGCAACCGCCGTCGCCACCAACCCCGTCGCCGCTGCGCTCTCGGACCCTGGCCAGGGACGGGTTATTTTTAGCCGGACGCTCCAGGATGGTGCCACCGGGATGGAGCCACCTCTGGGCCGGGGAGTTTGCGGTGACATTCCCCACCATGGCTACGCGAGGTGTCACCTGTTTAGCAGCTCCTGTGTCGAGCGCGCGTGGCCGCAGGTGCCGGGCGAACGCTGATGGGCTGTGACAGTCCGAGACGCCAGCTGCCTGCACGCAGCCTGCCCCGCCGCCACTTTTTTTGTGGGCAAAGCTGCGCCGCTGGCGTGACCGATACAGAAGCGATAAACTAGGTGACCGTAAAAGCAAAGACAAGTCCTACTAAGTGGCATTCTGAGCCCTATGGCTTTGAAATAATTGGTAGTGAGAGAACAAAAATGAAAGAAAAAAAAAAACCAAAGACCCAGAACCCAAGCCCATTTTTTTTTTCTTACACTGATGCCCTGCGGACTATACATCTGACTTGCCGCGAGTCCGTCACTGTATCCTCCTGTCTGGCTGATAACATGGCGAAGGGTATCCACCTAAACAGACCAACAACAACAAAGACACAAATTAGAGGGAAGGAAAGGTTAGTGGCCAAAGCTGCTTCCGTTCATCTTTGGCAAGATAAAAGCAAACAAACCAGAATAACAATGATCGTGGCCATCACCGTAATAAAAATAAAGGTACACATTTGAAGAGGGATAAAAGAGAACCGCAGCTGGTCTTGTGGAGAGAAATGAGCCAGAGGACCTCTCCTGTCTCCCTCACCGTCCCCTGCCCGCCCCAGCAGCCCTGTCACACTCTCCTTGGCCCCATGTCCTTTGACAAAAAGAGTGGGGAGGGACAACAACATGACAATGTGGGGTGGCATCTCCTGGAGCACGTCGTTGCAGCCATCTCCTCCATCTCCTCTACGGACCCACCTTCCTACCCCTACCCTGTTCCACCCTGACCCCAAGCACTGCTCACAGCAGCAGAAGGAGACCTTTGGAGTTGGATGAACGCCTCCACAGTGAAGGGCCCAGAAAGGAAATATACCTACCATGGCAGAGGCACCAGCAGCTCTCCTCTGGGTGCCCTGTTGCTCTCCCTCACACCCCCAGCCCAGCCCCAGCAGTGGCACACGTGGTGAGCACGTCTCACTGCCCACGGATGATGTGTGCTCCACGTCCAGCCTCATGGGGCAGCAGCCTCAGCTTTAGAGAGTTCTCCTTGCCCAATGCAGAAGTGTCAGAGTGGCTGTTGTCTCTCAGGACAGAACAGAGCCTCAGATGCCTGAGAGGGGACTCATGGCATATCTGGACATCGGATGGGAGGTGGGAGAGCTGAGTGAGATCATGGCTATTTTAAATTCTTTCTTTTTGCCCCAAGCATGGGTTGACATTTCAGCATTGCTGCTCAAAGCTCCCTTGCTCTCTCCTCCTGGCATGTACAGGGGTGGTGTGAGTGCCTGTGCTCTGGGGAGGTGGGGAGATGGTCAAGGGTGGCTTTTAATTGCAAAAAAAAAAATTTAAAAAAAATCTACATATTTCAACATTTAATGCCTTTCAGCAGACACCTAGCTTGGCATCAAAGGAGTAAGTGGAAGTCTTGAAAAACGAGACACCAGTCCAGACATCTGGCCCATTCCCTTGGAAGAATAAAGCAAGAAGAACCTAAACCTGAGCTGCTTTTGCTTGACTTTGTGCCTATTCTTCTACACCTTCTCTCCTCTTAGTATGACTATCAAGCCAGAGCCAAATGCATTCACAAAGTGTGGGCAAGTCTCCTCAAGACCATGGTTGTTGGTTTGGTTGGGTGTTTGGTTTTGGTTTCTTTTGGATTGTTTTTTTGTTTGTTTGTTTTT